CATGTTATTATTTTTTCTCTGTGATTTTGACATGTGAATTTCTTTTGTAGTTTCTGATTCTTGTGTGAGACTGAGGCCTTCTAGTTTAGGTCTGCTTCTTTTTGTGAACTTTATCTGTCTTTGTGGGTTACTTTTTGGGCATGAAAAGCTGACTTGTGTAAGCTTCCGGTTCTCTCTTTTGATTTTATATTGGAGTGGCCAGATTGCTTTTGTCATCAGGAGTTCCCACAGAGTCCCAAGTCAGATGAGGATCAGATGCTCTCAGGCTTTCTCCTAAGGTCTGGATCCCTCCAGGAAAGATTTTGGCCTCAGGAATTTGGGGGCTGGTGGGCTGTGAAGGCCCAGGGAAGCAGAGGGAGGTGAGGGCAGGGCCACGCCCATAGTGCTCCTGGGGACCTAAGGAGGAACTGAGTTGGTCTGTATGCAAAGGATCAGGAAGCAGTGGTGGTTTCCCCAGTGCCTGGGGCACCAAGACCAGGAATGGGAAAGGACCCAGGCTAGGAGGAGAGACCAGCAGGGGAGATGGTAGGGTGAATGAGTCTGGGGGAGTCAAGATGTAGAGGGTGCAATCGACTTACCCCAGAGAGAGAGGCCTGCAGTTTGAGTTACCTTAATTTTTATTTAATATGTGTGTATGTGTATGTCTGAAGGCATATGTGTGGAGGCTAGAGAACAACTTGCAAGGGTCAGCTCTTTTCTTCTACTGTATAGGTCTCAGGAATTGAATTCAGACCATCAGGTTTGGTGGCAAGTATCCTTACCCACTGAGCTATCACGCTGGCCTCAGCCACCTTTTGTAAATCTCATCTTTGCTTCCTCATTTTTAGCCTTGTAACCTTTAAGATTTTATATACAGAAGCATTTTATGTATGGAGACATTTCATAATTTGTAGTATGTCTGTGAAAAAAACTTGGGTAATTTTTAGTATAGTTTTTATTTATTCTTTAAGAATTTCATACATGTATATAATGTATTGCGATCATTTCCACTCCTGCTCCCCCATCCTCCCTTCCCAAAACCCTTCACACATATCCCTCCCAATTTCTTCTCCTCTCATTTTTTTTGGCGGGTGCGGGGGATCATTTTGTGACGGGGGTCTCCCTGTAGCTACAGCTGGCCTGGAACTTGTTATGTAGACCCAGGCTGGTCTTGTCGTCACAGAGCTCTACCTGCCTTTGCATCCAAATGTGCCAGCACACCTGGCCCCTCCCTTTTTTAATAACCCAAAGTCCAATTAGTGCTAACCACATGTGCATGGGTATTGGACCATTCACTGGAACATGGGCAATCTACTAGTGGCCACACTCCTGAAGAAAAATTACTCTCCCTCTCTCAGAAGCTGTCAACTGCCAATAGCTTCTCAGCTAGGGGTATTACCTTAATTCTCTCCCCAGTCCATGATGGAATATTGACTGGCTTAATCTTGTGCAAGTCTTGTGCAGGCAACCACAGCTGCTGTAAGATTGTTGGTTCACTGGCTGTACCACATCCAGAAGACAGTGCTTTACACAGTCCTCCCCAACCTCTGGCCCTTCCAATCTTTCTGCCCCCTCTTCCAGGATATTACTTTAGCCTTCAGGAAGGGGTGTGTTTGGTATAGATGTCCTATTTAAGGCTGAACACTCCACTGTCTTTTATTCTTTGCACTTTGACCAATTGTGAGTCTCTGTGTTAACTGCCATCCACTGCAAGCAGAAGCTTTTCTGCTGATAGCTGAGAGCCCTGGTAATCTATGAGTATAAAAATAAGTGTTTAGAAAGCAGTTTAATAATATGTCTGTTTAGCAAAACAATAGCAGTATGCTCTCCCCTAGGGCCTGTGACCTCCCAGGCCATGTGTTCTTGGCCAGGTTTATATTACCAAACAAGAGATCCCTTCCTGTGGAGCAGGCCTTAAGTCCAATCAGAAAACCATTGGTTACCCACAAAACAATCAGACCACTATTGCACTGATGGGCATATCTTGGCAGTCTGGTTGTTGCTGTAGCCCACAAGGTTCACAGCTGGATAAGACTGTTTATTACTTTTCTCCCCTGCAGCCTGTATAGCACCTTCTGTCACTATGAACTATGAAATTTTATAAAATTTCATTACCAACAAAGAGTGAATGATATAGTTGTCTTATATACTTAGTAGTAAGGTAATGCTTTCCTGAAAGTACCTTTTTGGTCCTATGTGACTATTAAATATAATATCCATTTCTAGAAAATGAAGTGATAGAAAAACTAGTCCTTTTAAGGACAGTCTTACACACACACACACACACACACACACACACACACACACACTTATTTTTGTCTTTTTGAGGCAGGGTCTCCCTGCAACCTCAGCTGGCCTGGAACTCACTATGTAGACCAGACTGGCCTCAGTCTCACAGAGATCCACATGCCTCTGCCTCCCATGTGCTGGGATTAAGTTGTGTGCAACCATGCACAACTCTCGCCATCATATATTTTTACATGTACTAGTCTTCACATGAGCTCAATAGGAATACATTTACATAAATCTCCAGGATTATTTATAAGAGCTAAGACAAATAGAAGTGTTTCAATTGTATATATTCCCCCATGTCCTTCTCTGAAAATAGTTTATAGTAAACCATACAAGTGTTTATTATTTAGTTTCTCATATAATTATTAAATGTGACATTATAAATGTATTCAGTTTCAGTTATAGATTCAACCATAGCAATAGCCTTCTAAAAATAATGACATTGTAGAATGCTCTAGGGCCTATGCCCCACTTATAAAATTTAATTTCACAGATAGTATTGTGAAGTTATGATTATTTGTTTTTATTTTCTATATTTTAGCTACCCGGGGAGACTTTGTTTTTAAGAGTTTGAATTACAGTGAGCTTTAAGACTGCATACATTATTAATTTGACAAATACAGTAGCATTAGTAAATTCCTTTTTCTTACTTGATCTCTTCTGTGTGTTCTTAGGGAACAAGTTCGATTTAATGGCTTTGGAATTTTTCTCTTCATTATATATCCTGGAGCATTTGTTGATCTGTTCACCACCCATTTACAACTTATATCACCAGTCCAACAACTAAGGATATTTTGTGCAGGTAACTGACTTAATTTATTTTAAATGCTAATGTGAGGCTTTGGTTTTGGTTTTCTGTGGTTAATGGTTTTATCGAAAGTACTCTCATGAAAAATATTAACAACTTGTCTTTTGGCTAATAAATTCAGTTTATTTGGCTCCCTCAAAAGTAATTAAGTGAAATAAGTTACATTCTAGTAAATTTCTTTCTTTCTTTATATTCTTTTGGGTTTTTTTGAGCCAGGGTCAAAAACAGGTGTATAACACTGGCAGGCCTGAAACTCATAGAGATCTCTACCTCCCTCTGGAGTGCTAGGATTACAATTGTGTGCACCCAGTCCATTTCTTTTTTAAAGCAAACTAAACCCAATATAAATTATTAAAATTTTAAATTAAAAAAAAGAAGAGGCTATAGAGATGGATCAGCAGTTAAGAGCATTGACTGCTCTTGCAGAGTACCTGGGTTCGATTCCCAGCACCTACATGGCAGCTACGAACCATTTTTAACTCCAGTTCCTTTTCTGAACTCTGCTGCATGTATGTGGGTGCACTCACATACTTGCAGGCAATACACTCATACACATAAAATAAAAATAATAAAATATTTTTTTTAAAGAGACGAAAACTTCATATTTACTGAAGCAAAGACATGGGACAAGCTTGCAATTCCAACTGAAGAATGGCAACACAGCTGAAGTTTAGAGAGAGGTATGCAGGAGTCAAGAGAGAACATGAAAAGCCAGCCACATGATAAATCAAAATTCAGGAACGAAGAAAAATGGCATGCAAAGATTGATACAGAATACTGACACTGTCACAGTTCAGTGAAAGAGAATCTCCTGGAGATATATGACTGTGTAGGGAAGAAGTTTTGGGAAACAGATCCATCTCAGCTGAAGGAACATGAGACAAATCTATCATAATCCTACATCTCTTTAAGTGGAGTAACTAAGGCTAAGCAAGTGTGGAAATTTAATTCTTTTTATTTATAAAGATATTTATTTTAATTTTTTTATGTGTATGAGTGTTTTGCCTAGTGTAGTAAGCACACCTGTGCATGCAATGCCCATGGACACCAGAAGAGGGCGTGTAGGATCACTTGAAACTGGAGTTACAAAAGTTGTTAGTCCCCATGTGAGTACTGGGAACAGAACCCAGGTCCTCTGCAAGAGCAGCCAGTGCTCTTAACCACTGAGCCATCTCTCCAGCCCTGGAACTAGAATTCTTGAATAGAATGTGAATATAAGACAACTAACCAAAAAAAAAAAGAAAGAAAGAAAGAAACAGAGACAAGCACAGAAACAGACACAGAAAAAGGGAAGGAGGGAAGGAGAGAGGAAAAAGAAATTGGAATTGGAGGTGGGCTGTAGTGAGATGACTCAGCAAGTAAAGGCAATGAGAAGGAGGAGGAGGGAATGGGGAAGGAAAGAAAAGAAGAAGGGGAAGGGGGAAAGGGAAATGAAAGAGAGAGAAAGGAAAGGAAAGGGAAGAAAAGGGAAGAAATAGAATTAGAATTAGAGGTGGGCTATAGTAACTCAGCAAATAAAGGCAGTTGTTATCCTGACCTCAGAGCAAACAGTGGACAGAGCAGCACTCAGCTGAGCTTTCTGTGGCCTTCTGCAACTGGGTGGGCCATGTACCCTGGCTAGCTAGGTGACTGGCTGAGTGGCTGAGTGGCTGGCTAGCACCTTGCCAGCTGACTTGATGTACCCACTGCTGATCAATGCCTAGGTGACTGAATGAGAACCTACCAACTGCCCTCTGAGTCGAGACCTGGAGCCAGTGCTGCCGCACCCAGCTAGCTGAGACCATTGTGTGCTCCAGAGTGCTGGCCCTGTTCTCCAAGGTACCCAGCCTGTGCAACTACCTGCTTTAAGGTTACCACACCAGTCAGAGAGGGTTCTTTGTTATTCAGAACATAGTAGAGGCCTCTGCTGTTGGGGACATTTCTGAATCATCTTCGACACTATGTGCTTCCCAAGCTCTGTATCAAGCGGAATTATCGCATGAACTGTGCCATTCACAGCAAGATGTTCAGGAATTAATCTAGTGAAGCCCAGAAAAACAAAACACCACCACTACGATTTGGACCTGCTGGCGCTGCCCCATGACATACACCAAAGACCCTGTAAAGAGCTGGTGTTGTAAGAACAGAAGTAAAACCATCTTCTGGGAAAATAAAATAAAATACAAATTTTACTTTAATAAATAAATACAGGACTGGAGAGATGGCTCAACAGTTAAGAGCACTGGCTGCTCATGCAGAGGGCCTGGGTTCAATTCCCAGCACCAAATGGAAGCTAACAACCATCTATAATCCCAGTTCTAGGGCATTCAGTGCCCTCTTCTGACCTCCATAGGCATTGTACAACATGGGTACTATACCTACCTACTTGGAAGCAGTGCACTCATAGACATAAAATAAAAATAAGTACAAATAAGATATGCTCAACTGTTAAAATGTCAGGCTGAGATTGTAGTTCAATGATAGAATTCTTACTTAGAGTCTGTAAAGTCCTGGGTTTGATCTGCAGCAACAACAAAAAAAATCCCTTAGTTTGTATTAAAAACACATTCAAGGGCTAGAGAGATGGCTCAGCGGTTAAGAGCACTAGCTACTCTTACAGAAAACCTGGGTTTCAATCCCAGCACCCACATGGCAGCTAACAACTGTCCATACCTCCAGTTCCAGGGAATCCAACACCCTCTTCTGACCTCTGTAGGCATTGGACAACATGGGTGCTCTTATATACATGCAGTCAATACATGCATATGCATGAAATAAAAATAATAAAATGTATTTTTTACAAAAACATTCTAAGTCAGGCATGGTGGTGTATGCCTTTAATCCCAGAACTTGGGAGGCCTCACAGACTTCTGTGAGTTCAAAGTGAGCCTGGCCTACATAATAAGTTCCAGGCCAGCTGGAACTACAGGGAGACCCTGTATTAAAAAGATTAAAAAAAAAAAAAAACATTCTAAGTTTGTGATATATTTTTAAAATTCCATATGAAATTACTCAGAAAACACATAAAAAGGTCAGGCAATGGAATCTCAATTAGTTATATAAAAATAGGTATGTCATTTTTATGCCATGAACACAAGAGAAAATTTCTTTTTAAATACCCACACACACAAAAATTGATGTACTACTTCACAAAGAAGACTTCAATAAATTCCCAAGAGGTAACACTGGCATGCCTTTAATCCCAGCACTCGGGAGGCAGAGGCAGGCGGATCTCTGAGTTCAAGGCCAGTCTGGTCTACATAGTGAGTTCCAGGCCAACCAGGGCTGCATATTGAGACCCTGATTAAAACAAAAATTCCCAAGAGTAATAGGAAAATTATAAATTGTCTTAATCATACCCTGGATCAATTTAATTTAAAGCTATAATTAATAATCATAACTAAATGATATGGCTATGAATTATTCATAACTAAATGATAAAAGTATAAAAGAGTTAATAGTGAAGTATTAATAAGGATATAAACAGCAATAGATTAAAGTATTAAATCCAAGAGTTATTTGACAAAAAAAATTAAAGAACAAGAAGAAATATCTACAGACTTAATTAGTAGTCAGATTGGAGAATAACAACTGATACACAGAAAAGTAAATTAAATGTTTTGTTCATCTTTGCAAAAAGTTCAGAACCCTGAATAAATAAAAGAATTTGAAAATAACTGAACTTAAATAGATTGGCTAATAATTACAGGAGAAATTAAGAAAGTTGATAAAGAATACCCCTAAAACTTCATAGATAGAATTATTTGAAATTATGAATAAAAGTGCCCCCCCTTTGGTCATTTTGATGCAGGGTCTCCCTGTAGCCCCAGGCAGCCTGGCATTCACTATTTAGACCATGCTGGCCTTGATCTCAGAGAGATCCACCTACCTCTGCCCCCCAAGTATTGAGACTAAAAGCTCATACCACCACGCCCAGCTAAAAGGTTTTTTTTTTTCTTAAAAAATACCAATATAGCATTAAATTTTTAGATCATATACAGAAGGAAACTGTTTTATCTAAAGTTTTTTAATTGTTATAGTGACTGAATTTGGAGGTTTAGGGTTTTCTTTTGTTTTGAGAGATGATCTCACTATGTAGCCCAGACTGATCTTCCTGCCTCTACTTCCAAAGGAGAAGATTATAGACCTATAGACATATGCCTTCTCATGGCAGGCAGAAACTAAGATTTTTTTTAAATAAATAATTACATCGATACTTTTTTTTTTTTTTTGGTAAAACACAAAAAACCTACAGACACATGGTATGTCTCAAGAATGCAAGGATGGTTTAACAACAGGAAATTTGTTTTAATGTGAACATTTACTGTTGGGGGAAATTTTTCTTCATTGATGTTAAGGGTATAACAAAATTAGCAACCATTAATATATTTGCAATAATCCTTAGTAAAGAGAGAAGTAGCTGAATGTTTCTTAATGGTGTATTTATTAAAAGAAGACAAAGAAATTCCACTATCTACTACTGATATTAACTGCTTACCTGTATATTGTCATTACAATTAAATAAGGACAAATAAAGGAATATGAAGGTACTAAGAGTATAGTTCAGTAGTAGAGTGCTTATAGAGTGTACAGACACAACGTATAGATATTAAAAAGAAATAGGTGCTGAGCATTATGTCTCATGTCATTAATCCCACCACTTGGAACACAGAGACAGGTGGTTCTTTGTGAGATTGAGGTCAGCCTGGTCTACATAGCACCAATCAAAAGTGTTAAATCCAAGAGTTATTTGAAGAAAAAAATATTAAAGAACAGGAAGAAATAGATAACGACTGAATTGGTAGTCAGATTGGAGCATATACTAAACTGATACACAGAAAACAACCCACCCCAAAATAAGTAAATAGGAGTAAACTTTTTTCCCCCAGATGTGATATAAACCTGGTTGAGGGGCGATTTTTTTAAAAAAATCAAGTGAAATGAAATTAAATTAAAAGAGCCTGCCAGGGAAATTCATATCGGATCAGTGACTGGGCTGGCCAGCCAGCAAGGATGCAAATACTGCATGAGCCGGCAAAATGAGCTTAATGAATGGATGAGCATTCATTTGAGCATGCGCAAAATAAGCCTGCTGGGTGGTCTGTCGCAGTGCTATGATGTAGGGTTTGTGACGTGCTTCCGTGTATCCAGGCGCATGCGCAGGATTCTCCCGGAAGCACTAGTTTTAGTGCCTCGAGCTGGTGAGCCTTTCCAGCGTGAGCGTTCCTCGGCTTTCTAGCCATTTTCCGAAGCACTTCTAGCCGTTCTCCAGAGCGCTTCTGGCCATTCTCTGGAGTACAAAAGCATTATCCTTCGCCAGGCTTCTGAACTTCACAGCCACCGGCCACCTGCCTGCTTCCGAAGACCACTGCAATCGACTCAGCCATGGCCTCAGAGAAAGGCTTCTATATCGTTCCTGAGGAGGTTCCTGCCGATCTCCTGGAGCTGCAGCCACTACAGCCATTCAGTGTAGACGGAGCTGCCTTGGAGGTGGGAGCGTTCCAAACCGTGGAGTTACATGAAGATGGTGGTGTTGGTGTCAGCTGGGCACAGGATGGCCACCTCAGCTCTGATCTCTATGAGCTGCAGCCGTTTGCCAGCAGTCTAAATAACAGAGACCACGACGAAGACAAGATCATTGTGGAGATGCGAGAGGAGGTGGTGGACTACGAGGACACAGATGCCCTCCTAGCCAAGACGGTCTTCAACCAAGATGGCTGCCTCCAGTCCACGATGACCTCTTTGCCAGGCTGCACAGTGGCAGAGAGTGACCTAGGGCAGAACAGCCTCAGTGGCGGGAATCTCTGTGATGTGAGCAGCATTCTCGAGGCCAGCGCCGAAGGAGTCTGGTGCCCTGAGCCTGTTGACAATCAGTGGAAGCAGAAGCAGGTACAAATGGAAGACCCCTGGGGAGATTTGCCCTTTGCAATGTGGGCAACCAACGATGAAAATGAAGAGCCTGAGGCCAATAAAGAGTCCACGAATTCACCACTTGATTATTCCGAGTACATGAAGGGGAAGAAGTTTCCTCCTGAAGGAATACCTGGAATTGATCTGTCTGATCCCAAGCAATTGGCAGAATTTACCAGCATGAAACTGAAAAAACCCAAAGGAGACTTTCCAAGACCAATACCTTGCTCACATGAAAGCTGTGGGAAGATGTTCAAGGATAGTTCCACTATGAAAAAGCACCTGCACATCCACGGTCCTAAAGTACACACGTGCGCAGAATGTGGCAAAGCATTTGTCGAAAATTCAAAACTAAAACGTCACCAGCTGGTTCATACTGGAGAGAAGCCCTACCAGTGTACCTTTGAAGGCTGCGGAAGACGTTTTTCCCTGGATTTCAATTTGCGCACACATGTGCGAATCCATACCGGAGACAAGCCCTTCGTGTGCCCATTTGAAGGCTGTAGTAGGAAGTTCGCCCAGTCAACAAATCTGAGATCGCACATTCTAACCCATGTCAAGAGCAAGAGTGACCGTTGAAAAGAAGTGAGAAGGGCCTTCTGAAGCTTGGGAAGTATTTTACAGGCTTTGACAATGTGCCTCTTGTTTGAATAATGTTTGTAAGAAAACTAAACGAATTGTACATGTCTAAGGTTTCTATTTTGATAAAGTAGTACAAGTTAAAAGTTTTTATTAAAATGAGCTTTCATGTAAGATAATGTTGATAAAATGCCCCATTTTCTGCTGCAACGGTGTTTTGTGGAGCTTGGTTTCAACAGAGACTAATTCACGAACATTGAGTTATTGCTAGAATGCCCTGTCTTATTCTGCAGTAGTGTTTTTGTGAAGCTTGATTTCAACAGGAAACTAATTCACAAACTTCATATTGGTGCTGAAGATGGCCTGTTTTTCTGTGGTGCTGTTTTTGAGAAGTTCAGCTTCAACAAGAGACTAATTCAAAGGGCTCATGTTGTTGCTAAAGATGGCTTGTATTCTGCAGTAGTTTTTGTGAAGCTTGGTTTCAACAGGAGACTAATTCACAAACCTCATATTGTTGCTAAAGATGGCCTGTGTTCAGTGGTATTTTTGAGAGGGTTTCAACAAGAGACTAATTCAAGAACCTCATACTGTTGTTGCTAAGATGCCCTATGTTCTTCTGCAGTGATGTTTTTGAGAAGTTTGGTTTCAACAGGAGACAATTTCATGAACTTCATATTGTTGCTAAAGATCACCTGTGTTCTGTGGTAGTGCTTTGTGAAGTTTGGTTTCAACAGGAGACAATTTCATGAACTTCATATTGTTGCTAAAGATCACCTGTGTTCTGTGGTAGTGCTTTGTGAAGTTTGGTTTCACCAGAAGACTATTTCACAAACCTCATATTATTGCTAAAATGCACTCTTTATTCTACAGTGCAGTTTTTGTGAAGTTTGGTTTCACCAGAAGACTATTTCACAAACCTCATATTATTGCTAAAATGCACTCTTTATTCTACAGTGCAGTTTTTGTGAAGTTTGGTTTCAACAGGAGACTCTAATTGACAGAACTCATGGTCTTGCTAAATAAAATGCTCTTATTCTAAGATGATGCTATTATGAAGTTTGGTTTCGACATGAGACTAAATCATGAACGTCACATCAAAAGTTCTTTACACAACTGATAAAAATGGGGTTTTTCAGATTCTCATAAAGTTCGCTTATTGCTTGCAGTTTTCAATTGTATGTTCCAATCGCTTATGTTTATACTTTTAGGAATACTTTGTTTTCCTGGAAGTTGTTAAGTTCATAAAAGGTATCTTTTAAAAGTGTGAGCAGTTTTATACATGTATATTTTCCTGCTAAAGAAGCTTTATAGGTTTTGATTGCTGTCTTAATTTTGTTGTATTCCTTGATAACCTGATAGTTATTTGCATAACTATCTTAAAAATGTATTGAATTATACAGTACAGAATGTTAGATGATTTCATTATATTAGTCAAAATGTATATTAGTCACTTTATTGTCCCCCAGACACTACCAGATGCCGTTGTTGAGTGTAATATGTTTTCCTGATTCAGAGTAGTGTTTGGTTGAAGAATATATTGTCTTCATATTGACAATTCCTGTGTAATAGAAAAAGCAAAAATGAAAGAACTGTTCTTGAGAATTTAAAATAGTTTACCTGTATAAATACAGTAGCTAGAAAATAAGGAAAGGGGAAAATACAGCTGTAAACATCTTATAGTACACAAGACAGCCCTCCATGACAAAGAACTACCTAGCCAAAATGTAATATAAAGGTGTTTTAAATGGGGAATCAGTATTTTCTAAATTTAAAAAAAAAATATTTTCTCAGGGCCAGGCGTGGTGATGCACACCTTTAATCCTAACACTTAGGAAGCAGAGGCAAGCAGATCTCTGTGAGTTCCAGGCCAGACAGGGCTACATAGTGAGACCCTGTTATTGTGCGTATGTCTGCTGTGAGTGTGTGTCTGTGTGTCTGTGTCTGTGTGTATTTTGTAAATGCAGGAGCATGTGCACAGGGTCTATAAGCGAGTGTATAGAGGTCAGTGGATAACTTTTGGATGTTGGTTCTCTCCTTCCACTGATTCAAGCATTTAACTCAGGTCTTCAGGTTTGCCACAACAAGTGCTGAGCCATCTTACCAGCCCCAGTTAGTATTTTCTAAAAAGATATTCATATATAATAAAAAGATTGTGAGGCTAGAGAGAGATGGCTCAGTTGTTAAGATCACTTGCTGCTCTTCAAAGGATCCAAGTTCGATTCCCAGCACCCACATCCGGTAGCTTGGTAAGCACTTTCCAACCGAGCTGTATCCCCAGCCCTTGAAAAGCCTTTTATTATATGGTCTTGTATGTGTTTCTAGATACAAATAAAGCATTACCGTCTATAACTATACGTACCACACTAATTCTTCGCCATTTCAGTACATTTTTAATAATTCTCTATTCTTGAGAATTTCAGACATGTATAGAATGAAATATCACATCCACCCCATTTCCTTTATCCAGCTTTCCCCATTTCCAATGTGATCCCCTCCCATCCTCATGTTTATATATCTATCCTGCTGGGCATGGTAATGTACGCCTTTAGTCCCAGCACTCTGGAGGCAAAGGCAGGCAAATCTCTGGGAGTTCAAGACCAGTTCAATGGTCTACATACGAGTGCTAGGCCACCTGGGGCTACAGGGAAACCCTGTCTCAAAATGACCAAAAAGGAAAAAAAAAATATGTATGTGTGTGTGTATATATATATATATATCCTACAAAGTCCAATTAGTGCTGGTCACATCATGCAGTTTTTAAAGTCCTTTAAAATTATTCTAAATACTAAGTTATTAGAAAAGTTTGTGCTCTTGAATAATTACATACATACATATATATATATTCATATACTTGCTGGTGTGGGCAGAGGAAACACCTGGAGGAATAAACAGAAAATGCTAACAGGACATTTACTGTGAGAAGTGGGTTTGGTGGTTGAGAAATGGTATTTTAGGAAATGCTGTTTGAAGTTTTAGTCAACATGCAAGTTTTTTTAAAATTTTATGTGTATGAGTGTTATGCCTGCATATATGTAAGTGCACCTGTGTTGTGCAGTGCCCGTGGAGGACAAAAGAGGGCATCACATCCCCTGGAACTCGAGTTACAGACAGTTGTTAGCCACCATGTAGATGCCGGAATTCAAATCCGGGTCTTTTGCAAGAGCAGCCAGTGCTCTTAACCGCTGAGCCATCTCTCTAGCCCTAATTTTTAGCAATTTTTTAAAAGTCAGTTAAGAAGGGTGAGAGTAGGGGGAGGCAGGGAGCCATGGTAGTGGCACATTTGCTTAAGTCCATACTGAGGCAGGTAGCTCTCTGAGTTTGAAGACAGTATTGTGGTCTGTCTAGATATAGTAAGTTTCAGGTCAGCCAGGGTTACACAGTAAGACCCTGTCTCAAAAGGAAAAAAAAAAAAGCCAATTCAGCATTTTAAAATTCAACTCTTGGTTTGGTTTAAAATATACTAGGTGAGGTTTGGGCCTTAGAATTAACACCTGATGTCTAAAAGAGGACCAAGGAAAGTTATATATCACCAGGCATGGTGGCGCATGCCTTTAGTCCCAGCACTTGGGAGGCAGAGGCAGGCAGATCTCTGAGTTCAAGGTCATCCTGGTCCCTGTTCTACATAGTGAGTTCCAGGCCAGCTGGTGCTACAGGGAGACCCTGTCTCAAAAAGACCCCCCCAAAAAAAGTGTAAAGTCACTAGAAGTACCCAGTTATCAAAAATGCACTTACCTTTCTTGGCCTCTCTAGCTCCCCCAGCTTTCTGGGCCTGGTCTGTTTGGACATCTCAAAAATTTTTAAATATTTTATTATTTTTATTCTATGTGTATGAGTGTATTGCCTATATATGTGTAAGTGCACTTGTGTCGTGCATGCTCGAGGTCAAAAAAGGGCATCGAATCCCCCGGAACTAGAGTTACAGAGACGGTTGTTAGCCACCATGTGGGTGCTGGGAATTGAACCTGGGTCCTGGGAAGAGCAGCCAGTGCTCATAACTGCTGAGCCATCTTTCCAACCCCAGGCATCTCCATTTTCTACAGTTTTTTTTTCCCATCCTTGACATGTCAGTGTTCCCCTTTTTCCCTTTGGGTACCTCCTCTCCCTTTGGTACCTTCTCTTGGTTCTTTTCAGGGGCCTCTTTAGGCTTAAGCTATGGCTTCGGAGGAACAGATTTAACAGGCAAACTTGCAGATTTTTGTGGTTCTTCTTTCTTTTTGGCCTTGTCTGCTTAGTATCCCCATCAACCTTTCTTGAGGGCATGGTGGGTATTAAGGAACCGACAGATGGCAAGATGGCGACGTTTCTGTCAGTCTGGGCTTTCTGGCTTTTTTGCTTTGTTTTGTTTGGTGTAGGGGTGAGGTAGGGGGGTGGACAACACACGTAAGTGCTGAATACAGGGATGCAGCAAGCACAGCATTGGTCAGTGTTTGGGGGGGTCATTCTTCCTTTGGTTTGTTGAGGGGTGACAGGATAAAAATAATGACAAGACTCAGGTACTGAATTTGGATGTGTGGTAGAGCTCATTGGCAGCTCTCTGCTGTTGCTGCTTTTGGGGTTTTGTTGTTTTGTTTGTTGGGAAGAAAGGGAGGACAGTAGGTACTGAAGGCTGCATTTGGTGGGGAGATTATTCTCAATTCTTTGTTAGTTGGGGGTGACAGGCAGAACTCAGGTGCTGAAGTTGGGGATACTATAAAGTTTGGCTTTCTGCTGCTTTTTGTTTTTGTTTGTTAGAGGGGGCGGACAACCACCCTACAGTATAGATGCTGAATACACTGATGCAGTGAACATGGCTTTGATTGGTGTGGGCTGAGGCTTGTTCTCCCTTCTTTGCTGAGGGGAACAGGCTTGGTGGCAAGACAGCTTGACCTAGGTGCTGCATGCCGAGATACAGCGAGATCTGTTTGGTGGGGTGGAGGTGGATCATTCTTGCTTTTTTTTTTTATTTGTTGAGGTGGATACTGACATCATGTAGGGTTGAAGCCACTGTGGCTTTGGTCGGT